CGTGTGCTGCACGCACTACACGCGCTGCTGCAGCCCAGAATGATTTAACTGACTGGCGCAATCAGACCGGCCTTACCGGTGGCGTTCGTCGAATTAACTAAAGTTTTTCCTCTACAAGACTTAGTGCGTGAAGCAGCCAGTGACTTCCTCAGACTAATCTGATTGGCGTTGATCTGGCCTCTGCCAGAGTTATTAGTCGCAAAGTTCTATCTGCAGCTGACAATAATATGAATGAAATGAAAAGAATATCGATACGGGTCCAGCTGTGGAGACACGTACGGCAGTGACAGAGGCCGTTTCCAGCGCAATCACAAATTCGAGTCATCGTTGGACTAACGTAATCCTCCAATTTGAGTCTCAAAGGCGAGCCGATCTTTGGCTTTCTTCGATTATTGCATAGATTCGGGAAAGACAGCGCCGGCAGCGATATATTGCATCGAACACAATCCAAGGCCTCGGTTTTGCACATCGCGCCAGAAGAATAGAAAAACCCACTCTTTCAGATGACTGATTACGTGTTGCTTGTCTTTGCCGTAGCACTGGCTGAGTGATGTGAAGGACTGACCAGGTGCGCGCACTGGGCCCGTCTCCACCGTGACCTCCATCTCCATATTTTATTCAATTCGTAAAAGTTAAAAGTACTCACCCGATGCTGCAACAGCGCGAGTGAGAGCACGAAAAAAAATTCCGCAAAAGCAACGACCTCCCCGCAGCAAGGTAAACGAGCACCGCCTGTCGCGTTTAACGCGTCCACGCCTACTGCCTTGCTGCACCCGAGGAAACTCTCTGAATGAATCTTGATCGTTTGCTTTTCGCTCTACTCGAACACAAGCTTCAGCTCTGTCTTACTTTTTCGTGCGTCCGGTCCTGATTGAAAAAGTTTATATAGAGTTTAAAGATCCGCAAGCTTCTAAGTACTCTGTTTATCTAAGCATGGCAACGACTGACTAGCAAGTCCGGTCGGCTTTTTCTTTCTTTTGTTTTCCAGTCCTACATTATTTTTTCTTTTTGAAGGCTCTCGGGTAACGCCGAGCTGGCTATAGGGGAGGAGCGGGGAGAATAAAACAGAAGCGGAAGAGGCGGTAATTAACCAGCTTACCACTTAAAGCTTACCACTGACCCCATTCGCCCTAGAAAATTTTCGTGCTGGGCAAACTGCTAACGATACCCAATCTCACACCATCATCTAATTGAGAACAATATTCACACCTTTTATTTCTTCGATTCTCTATGTTTAGATAGAAAAACTGCGGTCTCGATAAGAGGCTCTAGACACAATGGCAGACCAGTAATCCAGACAGCTCGGACTCGAATAAACGTTTTTCAACGTTCTACCAGACCACCGCAAGCTTTCGGACTCGTCCTCAGTCATCCAACTCCAACCTGGCCCACGCACACGCCCTCTCTTTACCCACTGGAGAGCTGAGGTGACGATTTGTTCCGGGAGAAGGGAAGAGGCCCATGTGCTTAGCGAAGCCAACTATGACGGAAATCACAATTTGTGCGAGAGATCATCTTTAAACCTTCTATAATCAGCTTTGTGCATGTTTATCAGGCTCTCGATTGCCTTTGACTGGCTCTATTGCTTTTCTGTTTCCCATTGAACCCTCCTCTACTATGCGCAGTCGTACTTCGCCATCGAAATTCAGCGACTGCCAAGGTCGTAGAGTTCTAACAGCTTGCAAATTATAGTTAAACTGGCATAATTGCTCGATATTCAATCAACGCGCCTACGGGTGTCCGCGATCCTCTCCGCTCATACGCGGCCCGGCCCGCTAAGCTACTCGAGCTATTAACAGCTAATTTACCAACTCCACGGACTGCAATTTCTCTTCCCGATCTTGCCCCGATAAGTAGCCTGATCAACAAGTATTTTATTATTGATTACTTCAGCAAAAAATGTTTTCTCATGATTCGGGATGGAGCGGAAACGAGAAGAACTCGAGTGTAGTGCCTTGGTGGGTAGACCGTGCGGTCTACTTCGACTTTTTCTGCGGATAAATTATGTTTTCAGTCTGGTCTTGGTCTTGCATCGATCAACTCACGATTACCCAGACACCAGAAATCAGCCAGTCAAACGCTCCAGTCGGTCGCTCTAATAAATCAGCAGAGTTTGTTCGGGGACGTTTGCAAGAATAATAATTAGATGGATGGAGAAATAACCTACTGCAAAGACCGCTAAACAAGCTAGGAACAAAACTTGCACCTGGAGCGGCGGGCTGAAGCTGCGAGCGGACCGCAGCTGATTGGTCCGGAGTGGTAAGCCCGGGCGTGTGGGCATGGGCGGGGTGAGCTGATTGGCAAGAAAACACAAAACACAAAACGCAAACGAAAAGACAAAGCAAGTCCAAGTTGTGCATTGTGAGAGACTTGAGGATGGGGAACAGTGCTTTCTCACACTTGACGTCTGGTCTACTGATGCAGTCAATTTTGTAAAGCTACCTCTACAGAAGAAAATTAACGATAACGCTGATCGCGAGTTCCACGCCAAAGTGCTCAAGATTCCTTCACGCAACAACAGGAGTCGAAGAGAGGAAAGTGGAGAATCAAAGCAGGCTCGGAGATTTACACGCGGATTTCCGGGGTGTTGAAACGGATTGCTTCAAATCGCCGACAGAGCTAGAGAAAACGGGCGGGAACAACGGACTGGGAGAAGTATGAAAATAAATCACTCGGGCGCGCAAGTTGGGCTGTGAGTGCGGCTGGATCTTTCTCGCCTTGCTCTTTGGCGGGCAGGCGACCTGGTGAGCGAGCGAGCGAGGGAGCGCGGTGAGTCTAAAGAAACGAGTCGATAGGCGGGGCTGGCAGGTCTGTTAGCCTCCTTCGGCTCTGCTCACGCAGTTTGCACAATTGCTCAGCTTACTTGCGCTTCCTGGTCAAGGTTTCTGATCCGCTTAAATCAACGATTGATTGTGTTATCACGGGCGTGACGAGAGGAGACGCAAACATGAATGACAATGACAGGAGCAGCGCAATAATACGTCGGTCGTGGATACATGATCTGCGCAGACCAGACAAGAGGTGAGCGAGTGAGTCAGTGAGTGAGTAAGTGACGAGCTGCTTCCCACTAGTAGCAGTGATCAGTGAGCGGTGGCTGGGAAACAGAGAATGAAGTTCTTAATGACAAACGGGTGATGTGAGTGAGGGGTGAGTGAGTGAGAGCGGACGCAGAGCGGACGGGTGACAGGAAACTAAGCTTCAGCCTCTGGTACCAGCAACATTCCTCACGACAACCCCTCGCGTTCCGTTCTGACCTCCTGTCTCACGCCGTCTCGTCTCTCGTCTCGTCTTGTCCACAAGCCGACTCGCGATTCTCTTTCTCATTCAACAGAATCGAGGACGAGTTGAAAGAATAGCATAAACAGAGAAAGTAGTACAAATAGTAGCTGCATCAGTAGTTATAAGACAATCTCACTACTCACTAATCACCCACATCATGCGACATGCAACATGCAACTAAGCAGACTAAAACATTTCAAGCCCGAGACAAGAAAAAAAAATACAAACCTCAAGACGTGAACACTGTGAACACTGTGAACAACTCGTGGCAGAGAGTGCAGGTGCGGCGCCTGATACTCGGCCCCAAGAGCAGAAGTCTACGTCTGCCACGTGTCTGGGACACACAGCTGACAAAAAGCGTGCCTCGCACTTGTACTACTACTGTGCGACTGTCTGTGCTACCCACCCACAGCACTCGTACCTGTACTACGCCTCCGTACCCGTCCTTGCGCTTCTTCCCCGGAACTTCAGAAACTCGGTCACCGCGTCGTCCTGCAACCCAGCACTTAGGCTTTCCAAGAAACATCCTATGAACAAACGGAACAGATAAACATTAATTCAACGAGGCAAAGAGTGTGAGAAAAAAAAATGACTGTGCGAAACAGGGCACGTTCTGGCTGGCTAGTCGCGTCGAGGGCGCACACGCTCTACTCATCGCGAGTACGTCTCTCTCTCTTATAAGTTATCCAAATCCGCCGCCCCTGCCTTCCCCAAGCATTCCATTCTTCTTGCTATCCATCCCCTTCCTTTAGTCCTCCCTTCCCTCACTCAACCCCTTCTTTTGCTGTTTGTCTTGTTTTCTGCTCGTGCCATTGTGTTGCCTTTTTTTTCCTACGGCCTTAGTTCCCCTTCGCGCGTGCAATCGTCCCTGCTTATCGTCCCGCGCATCCAACCGCTCATTTTTTCACACCTTCCCTTTGTTGAACCGGCATCTCAGAACGCGTCCATCCTTTTTGATTTGTCCTCGGTCATTCCTGCTCAATCGATATCGAGTTGCCTTCTCATCTATCTCAATCTTTTGATAATACTATCTCTTTCAATGTATGCGTCCAGATTTTTTCTTCGTTTTTTTCCGATCTTGATCTGAACCCGAACGAACAGTTAGTCTAACTCATTCTTTCTAGATGATGAAATTCGAGCAATACGACGCCGACGACTTTATCGGCGCGGCCCTCTCTCCCTGTGACGTTCACGATATGCCGTCCGACGCTGGCGTCTCGTCGGCGGCCATGCGCCATGTTCTCTCGTCCCCGATGATCTTCCGTCGCACATCGTCCGCCACCTCGGTTTCCTCCTACTCCTCGAGTGGCCCGACAACTCCGACTGAAGAAGTGGCTCCCGCCACCATCACCCCTGACATGCTCTACCTTTCCCACGGTGGCGCTGACGAGTACTCCACCATTGACTTGAAGTCGTGCCACGACACTTACTCGCCTGAGTCTCTACGATCGACCCCCGTCTCGTCGCCAGTCAAGTCTGAATTCTTCGACACTCCTTGCACAAACATTCTGATGACTCCCGCCACCGAGTCTTACTTCTCTCCCTTCTACTCTCCTTCCCCCATGACCTTCCACTCCGCTACTGCGGCCTCCTTCGCTCTGCAGAAGATTGCCTCCGAGACTCCCTCGCCTCCCGCGACTCCTCCTCCTATGTCTCGCTCGGTCTCGACCGCGTCCACTCTCTCTGGCTTCTCCTTTGCCTCCCCTCCCTCGGCTGAGGACATGTCTCCGACCTCGTCGCAGTCCTCTTCCTCCTTCTCTTCCCCCACAAGCCTCACTTCAGCATTACTAAAGGACCGCTCGATCTCGATCTCCTCGTCAGCAGACAAGCCCCACAAGTGCGAGAAATGCCCCAAGCGCTTCAAGCGCCTCGAGCATCTTCGTCGCCACTGCCGCACCCACACTGACGAGCGCCCGTTCATCTGCGACGTCGACTCATGCCGACGGAAGTTCTCGCGAAGCGATAACCTCCGCGCTCACCGACGCACGCACATGAAGCGCGGCGGCCGCAACGATTACATCGAGGGCCTTGGTGATCTCGGCAACTGATCTCTCTACATGTTCTCTCTCCTTTCTATTTTCTTTTCAGTGTTTTAAAGGTGCTTAAAAACTTTTTTTGCTTTTGTTGGGTTTCAGAATTGGCCGGTAATCTGTTGTACTATTTTCTCTTCATACACGTTTGCTCTTTTTCATTTTTGTTTTTTTGGTCGGCGCGCTATTTATGGTTGAAGGCATACACTCGGCAATGTTTCAAGCTCTCTTTTCTTCTATACAAAAAGTCGTTTGTCGGGTGCCTCTCACGCTCCTTTGGTTTCTTGTTTGTTTTCTCTTGTTTTAGGCTATGGCTATGGCATTACACTCATTTGTTTCCGTTTTTCTGTCGTTCCTTCTGTTGTATCCTGGGTTTTCACGTTTCCTTTCCTTTTGGGTTTTTGTTTTCTTCTCTTCCTCTGTACATATACTGACTACTTTTTCGTACCTTTACACTGCTTTGTTATGTCTTCCTTATGATTTATCTGACACACTTTTTGCGATCCTTTCCTTGTTCACTACACTCCTGTGTCTTACCTTTTCATGTGATTTTTCGGTGTGTATCGTCTCACTACTGTTCCCGCATCATCTACGGCGGTGTGAGAGTCGGCAATATTTTGCGAAAGAATAAAAAAATCATATATACTGTTCGAAATGGCAATCTTTTGCTGATTACTTTGTCTTCTTTGTTTCTCTCCACTTGTCTTGATCGAGGGCAGACAAGGTATGGAGTGCACATCAGCAGCATATGATGTGATTTGGAGTCGATTATATCATGTCCTTTCCAATCAATCGCTCCTTGCTTTCTCGCAGCAGTCACCAGCTGCGTCGTCTGCCTCCTATTTGTCACTTTTTCTTTACTGTTTCTTTGTTTTCTGATTTCCGTTGTCTCTTTAATATGTTTCAGCACATGCGCATTATGATTACGTTCTACCATGTTCACCACGCAAACGAGGATTCTATGTTGTTCATTCAAGCTTATGCTTTTCTTTGTTCCCCTTCATCTATTTATTTTTAATATAATGATTTGTTAACCAGATTGTTCATAATCTATTATGAACTTTACGCACTGTTCAAGATCGAACATGTATCGTTCCAGATTATAGCAGCCGGACTGCTTTTCCATTATTATTTTTTTCATCCCGATTCACCGTGACAGAGCGACGATCAACACCGTGCATAGTGCTTTGCTGCTTCCTACTCAATTGCTCGTGTCGTTCTCTTCACGAGATAGAAATCTCGACTGATCAGACTCTGTATAACTCTGTATAATGTGATGAATTGCTTTAGTATGAAGTAGCAAGTCAAACAGTCTGTTGGTCGGCACAAGAGCAAGCTGCGAGCGATCAAACATGCAGACCTGTGAAAGTTTCTTTATCCGCTTAGCTGCTTCCTGCTTACTACTTACCACTTCCAGCCCGGACACTGCAGCTGCGGCGGCCGCCGTCGCGCCTGATTTATATTTTACTTCGGATAGGCCGTTTATGAACTAATAACTACCCGCCTCGCCTCTTATTTTTACCCTCTCTCGCGATCTCTTTCCCTGATCTGATGAAAACGAATCAAATTCAGCTTTTGATAGCTGATCGTGGTTGGATAGATTGCCGACTTATGTAACCATCGTCCGACGGATCGACGGTGGTCAATTTTTTCAAAAGGTGAGCGGGCTCTTGGTCTGTGTGATTGCTGCTGCTGCTGCTTCCTACCTGCCGCTGCTGGCTCAGCACGCGTGCACACACATACACAGCACATGCGTGAATGGTGATGTCAGCCGTCGGCTTGCCTACCTCTGTGCATAAACCTGACAATTACCGCCAAAGAGTACGCGCACCTGTTGATACAGTATTGGGTTCCCGCTGCCGGCTTTTCTTTTCCGCGCGATGCGAACGAGCGCAATTGAATTGTGACCTGCTTGGACTTGACCGGCATTAGCAGTGAGGAAATAAAAGCCGTCTCGGTGGGTTTTGCGAGTAGGGGTTATAAGGCTTTATTAGTGATCAGAGGTAAGCGAGATGATGGCGACCGAGAAACAGATCAGGTAAGTGGCGGATCCTAATCATATCAATTATCTGCTAAATGCAGCAAGCCAATGCTGGACACGAGACAGAAATTGCTATATCTTGCTCTTTTCAATTACCACAGACATACGCGGAGATAATAGGAACTGAGACCCATGTATTCTGTGTCTAATAATCAGTGAATATCCATCTGTCTCGCGTTGTCCCAGTACGCAAGCGAACGCAGCGCAGCGTGACAGAGCGAAGGTGCAGATCACCGTCGCTAGTAAAAATTCGACGTGCCGGGTGTATGGATCGAGCATTTTGATTGAAAAGTCTTTTATCTGTATCATGCCCTGTGATCGCGCGAGCTAGCGGCCTAAGACGGCGGCGGCGACGGAAAAGCTAGGCGATAATACCTGCGCCTGCTCATCTCATGCTCACCCCGCGACTGCGACGCTGGAGACGATTACAGTGATCTACAGTGTCAGTCGGAGTATATCACAGCTGCACGTCTGAAATATCTGTGCTGAGTAAGGAGCAGAGTTTATAACTGTTGATAATGGTAAAGGAGCAGGGTCGATTGTCACGGTCTGCGTCTTTCTTTTCTTTTTGGTGGCCATGGTGGGAGAAATAGTGAGAGGCGGCATAATGCGTATGGCGCGCTGATTAATGGGCATGCGTTTTATGTGGATGTCGGAAGCGTTTGCGAGAGAGGAGAGGTAGAGGATGCATGGGGTAGTTTCAGCAGCATGACTTATTTCAAAGGCAGGTTATAAAACGTAAGTCAAATGCAATTCATTCATCCTATGATACAAGCGGAGATAAAAGCAAAAGTGGCTAGAGGAGTGGGAGTTGAAGGTAGGATAGCGGTGGCAATGGCAAGGATAAGAAAGAAGTCAGTCAATGCTGAAGCAGAAGGGGGCAAAAGACATTATAAACAATGCGTATTTCATTTACGTTGCAGTCATGAGGTCAAAGTAGCCTAAAACTACCCCATTTTCTTCCAGAGAACATAAGTGTCCTCAGTGATTAATAAGTGAGAGTGAGTGAGTGCAAGTGAGATGGAGGTGGGTATTGGTTACCAGCCTCTAGTTGTGGACATAATCTCTGATGAGTCAAGACAGGCGACACTTGCGTATGAAAATATATACTCCAAACAGACGCCTAACGACGAGGTTGAATAGGAGAGACTCTGGTTGTATACAGCTAATAAACAGTAGTATGAAATCGGTTACTGAAGTTGTATTATATTCACGAGTTCTGAGGCCGGCCGCTAAATCCTCATTTCTTCTCAGAAAAAACCTCACGCGTTTTGTGTGCGCGCGCGTCCGTTCAATTATTGTTCCCAAAGAGGCACAAATTGCTGAACACTTTGAGCACTTTAGGCCACTAATATAATTAAACAATCTGCACACGGCCAATTAACCACAATGGTCAATTTCAAAAATACGCTCGCTCACAAGTAGTCTTGTAATGAGGATTTCTCTTGTAATTTCCGTTTTATCGCCCCTAAAAATAGAGTAGAGCGCTGCGTCACTTCCTCTTTTTCGTTGCGTAGCGCTCATTTGTGTGTGACTTGGTCACCTTCGTTTTACCGTGCATTGTTATTCATCATTGATTATTGACGTCGTTACATCCTCAAATGAAGCACTGTTCTTCAGTATTAGTGTGAAGATGCGAGAGTTTCTCCAATCAATCGTCAACATAAAAAATTGAAAAGAAAAATTTTGAGAGCAGATTTACAACCTCGGTCGGTCTTCAGAAAACTTCTGATTTTTCAGATGACAACTCTACCGTGATCAAAAGGACAGATCCAGTTCCGACGACCGACGACAGCCTCACCGGCATCGTTCGTATTTGGTCAGTTGATTGAATTCGAGAACTCGTGCCTTAATTTCCCCTTTCACGCACCTCACTTCATGATTTCATCACCCACTAGCTCCAGGGGCTGCGCAAGCACTGACAAAACGAAAAGGGTTCTACCCCGGCACTAGGAACGAGAAGCGAGGACGCGGGGTGACGAGAGAGGAAGGTGCATGAAGAGAGCTGGTGCGCTATAATAATAGTGTGGAGAGTACTCTGCATATATATTGTGGCTTAATGGGTTTTGCAGGTGCAGGATGCGTGAGCAGTAGGAGTCGTTTCCTGGGCAGGCTGGACATGCAATGTTTCTTTTCCTTACCTGTCATCCCATATGTGCTAGTTTGTCATGCAGCAGAAAATTCAATTGATCATTAACGAAGAAAAGCGAGAAGCTGAAAATGATGTGTGGAGGTGGGGGTTTACTATTTGCTATACTACTCCACAATTCACTTCCGTTCACTATCCCAACACAGACATGGTAACAGCATACCCAGTTCCATCCCTACCATAACAAATCACGATATCAGCAGAAAATCCGAGGACATTCACGGCATTGATCGTTGATCTATAGTATAGCTGCACGCACAATCAGATAACAAGAAAGAGACGAGGCAAGGCAGCATATCACCTCGACAGCTGCGCCGGTCACCGCGCATAAAACCCCAGTGCCGGATTTCAGATGCCCGAATCAGCACCAGCAAAACACATCAGCGACAAGTCTCCATCCGAAAATGAGCCCGGGGATGGAAGATAAGGAGTTTCCGGTAGCTGGTCAGAATGGATTAATCACATTAGACAGCAAGGCTCTGATATTCAGAGTAATTGATGCGATGCAATTCCAATCACCTGTTTCGAACGCTGCTGTTTCCGAGATTTTTGGTGCAGAATAGTGGTATTTTTCACGAACAGTGGTTACAAGAACTATTCTTATTTCTCCACCCCTCGGGGATTTCTTCTATTTAGAACTTCTCAGCAGTCTTTTGGTATGTTGAAGAACAGTTCTCCATTGATCCTCGCTGTTGTGCGAATACACCTCCCCGCACTCACGCTATGGTCATGATTTGCGGACCCTCATGCATATCCGACGGAAACCGAAGAAGAGCATCACACCAACAAAGTAAGCACATCAACTTCTGCAGATAACGCAAGGCACCC